AGACAAATCACACCACAGATTGGTCAGGGTACCTGGCTAGGTACCCTCTGGGACATACAGAGATGTATAAGACATGTTCTTCATTCTCTGAGAGCTCACTTTGGGTGAAAAATATGTTCACAAATAACTATAGCATGTGGCTGGATGCAGTCAGTATCCTAAGAGTGATACAGACTTCGTTCAGAGAAGAAAGTTAGTATTTTTTGCAGGGATCATCCAGAAATGTATGAGCTGGACCTTGAAAAGGTGGGTAGGATTTTGATAAACAGTCTTCCCTTGTTCCAGTGGAAGCCAACCATAGAGTCCCTGAGTCAGAAACCTCGAGTCTCCAACTCTTTATCTCTAGCCCTTCCCAAAAGAATCCAGCCCTTCTCCAGCATTCCTGAGGAGACCTTTTTGCTTGGAGACCTCCAGTGACCAGGAGCTCACAGCCTCTTCAGGAAGCTTTTGGACAACTCTAATTATTGGGAGGTTTTTTCCCACCTATTCAGTTAAGGTGTATACCTATGATCATAAAAGCCCATAAGATCTAGAACTGAAAGCATGCTCAGAGAACACAACCTTTTCATTTTAGAGATGAGGAAACTGAGGCCCAGAGAAAGGGAATAGTTTGCTCCAAATGATAAAGCTAAGCACATCACCTACCCAGGGATGGGGACCCTTCAGCCTTCAAGCCACATGTGGCCTTCTAGGTCCTTAAGTGCAGCTTTTTGACTGAATCCAAATTTTATAGAACAATTAAATTTGGCTTCAGTCAAAAGGTCGCACTTAACCTAAAAGGCCACATGTGGCTTGAAGGCCAAAGGTTCCCCACCCCGGTCTACACAATCTCTAGATTCCCTTCCAGCTCTAAGACTCCAACTCTAGTGACCTCTTTTGCTTTGTCATGTTGCTTCTCAAACATGAACACGTGAATGGACACAGAGCAGGTGCTGCATTCAATTAACGTCACCTTCGTACAGGGAGGAAAGATGGCATCTTATCAGTGTGACAGCTGGAAACAAGATATACATCACCACACTCACCAGATGAAAACTGAAAATGGCAATCGGGTGTTGTGTTTACCTGACACCTAACAACAGGTTCAGGCCCGCTCTTTCTTTGAATGAACCATCTTCTTGATTTTTTTAAAAACCAAATTGACTAGCTGTTCTGGGGGCAGGTAGACAGAGCCTTAGACAGAGGCATTCTGGGCTACTGGGGCAGGGTCTGACCATTATTACTCATCACCAGATCCAGAGAAACCTCAAAACCTCAACATGGCCCTTGTGACTTGAATGAATGGAGAGGGGAGGGGGCAGTTTTCGGGAATTGGGTGGTTTTCTGAAATTGAGCAGTTGCCTTTTCTGCCCAGGTTCAGAGACTCGGGAAGGAATGCTGCATGGATCTGTATGTTCTCCCCACCCCCTGCCCCCCAGCGCACATAGGCACGTAGGCTTAACCAAATGTAAAGAGGCATGCCCAGACAGGGAGACTTCACCAGCTGACTGAGCGGGCTGCGTGTTGAGATCCTGTGATGTGCCAGATGGGGGACCTAAATCGAGGGCCGAGCTCTGGCTCCCCCTTACAGCCTCCCCCCCCCACCCCCCCCCCCCCCCGCCCAGCAATGTGGTAGCTGAGCAGAATGGATGGTTGTGTTCCAAGGGAAGGGCTCCATCTGCATGACTCTAGAGCACATCTGTGCTGACTGATTCAGAAACAAATTTAGCTTGGGTTTTCAGTTCTCTTGTTTTCCACTTTTGGTTTTCTCTTCTTTGCCCCTTCTAGCTCTTTGTAAGTAATAATGATAATAATCCTGGGCATCTGCTGAGGACCACGTATCTTCAAGACTTTCTTTTATCCCTTATCTCTTTTGATCCCGACAACACACTCATGAGGCAGGTAGGGCATGAAACAGAGGTCCAAAGAGGAAAAGTGATTTACCCAACATTACTTGGTGAGTTAGTCAAGTCAACAAGCATTTATTAAGCACTTATTATATGCCAGGCACCGTGCTAAGTGCTAGGTATACAAAGAGAGGAAAAAGACAGTCCCTACTTTCAAGAAGCTGTAATTCCAATGGGAGAGATAAAAATGTAAACAACTCAGGGCAGCTAGGTGGTGCAGTGGATAAAGCACCGACCCTGGAGTCAGGAGGACCTGAGTTCAAATCCAGCCTTAGACCAGACACTAGACACTTACCAGTGAATCTGGGCAAGTCGCCTAACCCCAATTGCCCGGGTTGCGGGGGAATGTGAACAGCTATGTAAAACAGTAATTCCAAGGTTTCTTGTTCTTTCCACTTCACTACACAATATGTTCATAGGATCCTAGAATATTAAAACCAGGAGGCAGACCCTATGGATCAGCTGGTTCAGTTCCTTCATTTTACAGATAAGGAAACAGAGGTCCAGAGAAGGGAACATTTGAAATGCTGAAACTTGAGGAAGCAATGTAGCACAGTAGATAGAAGGAAGGCTTGAGTTCAAATCTAGCCTCATACACTTACTAGCTGTGTGACCCTGAGCAAGTCACTTAACCTCTGTTTGCCTCAGTATCCTCAACTGTAAAATGGGGATAACAATAGCACCTACCTGTGAGGATCAAATAAGATAATACTGATAGAATGCTGAGAGCACAGTGCTTGGCATTATACAAATGTTAGCCACTGAAGTATTTATGAAGGGCTAGTATTTTGGATAGAATGCAGGTACAGTAGGGTGCACAATCCAGGTGTGCCATGCTTAGAGTAGCTTTATGTTTCTGTAAGATCTTATATTATTAAAGGTACTAAGGGTGTTCACTGTATAAATGACTAACAACCTCAGATTTATTAGGTTTATAATCTAATTTTTTTATATAATGGATTTCCTTAGAGCTGGAGTATCAATCCTAGTGATCATTTAGGTATAAGGGTGGGGAACCTGTGGCCTCGAGTCCACAAGTAGTCTTCTAGGTCCTCAGGTGCAGCCTTTTGACTGAGTACAAGTTTTACAGAACAAATCATTTCAGGGGATTTGTTCTGTGAAGTTTGGATTCAATCAAAGGGCTGCACTTGAGGACCTATGGTGCCACATGTGGCCTCCAGGCCGAAGGTTCCCTATCCCTTAGGACAAGGGACGTTAGCCTTTTTTGTGTGTCTTGGACCCCTCCAACAATCTGGAGAAGCTTCTCAGAACATGTTTTTAAATGCACAAGATAAAATATATAGGCTGACAAAAGAAACCAATTATATTAAAATAAATTTACCAAAATTGAAAAAAAAAACAGGTTCACAGACCCCAGGTTAAGAACTTTTGAACCAGACTGGTATTTTCCCAATTCATATGGCCAAAGGTTACTTTTTCCTCTGAAGTATATTAATGGAACTTACAGAAGCTTTTCTGGGAAAACTGGGGTAGAGAATACCCCAGGCTGAGAAACCTTTGACCAAAATAGAGAAAAATTAAACCTATTATTGTCCACAAAATTGTTACACATAATCAAATAGCTTAGATAAAGCACTTTGCAAACCTTAAAGTACTATGTAAATGTCATCTATAAATAATATGATAACTCTCCTTTGAAACATTAAATCATTTCATATTGAATATTTTAGAAAGGAAAATATCAACCAGCATCAAAAAGTTAATTTTTCAGAAAGGAAAATAATGTTCTTATACCCCATGGAACAATTTGACTTAAGTGAAAGCCTACTATGTGCGGATCTAGTCCAAACCCTTCATTTTATAGAGAAGGAAACTGAGACCTAAAGAGAGATGAGCCCATTCAGGATTTTCTTGGCAAACATACTAGAGTCGTTGGTCATTTCCTTCTCCAGCTCATTTAACAGATGAGGAAACTGAGGCAAACAGAGTTACATGACTTGCACAGGATCACATAGTGTCTGAGGCTGGATTTGAACTCAGGAAGATGAGTTTTCCTGATTTCAGGCCCGAAGAGGCAAGTGACCTGGGTTCAAATCCTAGCTCACCCATCAACGGGCAGTATACCCTTGAGTAAGTCATTTCCCTTCTTTGGGCCTCAGTCTCCTCCCTTGTGAAATGAGAGGATTGAATGGGCGCTCTCCAGAATCCCTTCCCACTCTGATGAGGCGCAGCAGGCAGTTGCAAGGCCACATAATTTAAAGTTGATGGTTGGTATCTCTCCCTGGAAAGGTAGACTTGGTTTCTACAAATAAAACACATAATACCACGGGGGTGACTCTAGACTGCTGAATGGCACGTCACAACTGACAAGTTGTCTGTTTGCTCTGAGCAGCCGTCTCTCTACAATGATCTTATCACACCCGCGGCTAAAACAAACTATTGCTCCCCCCCTCCCCCCATTTTATTCTTCTTGATGGCTCGAGACAAGAAGCTTTGCTCTTCTCCTTTGTGATTTTAAAATAAAAACAGACCGAATTCCATCTGCTTCCCTGAACAATTTCACTATTACTGATTGAAGCTGACATTCCGTTTAGTTCACTTTAATTCAAGTCAATTCAACAAATATTTATTAAGTCCCTATTGAAAGCTAAACATGGCATATTAGGGGAAGTGGAAAGTGTAGACAGGATGCAGTCTCTGCCCTCATGGAGCTTATGGTCTAGAAGAATGATGATACATTATTCTATGATAAGTGCTTTAGAGTGATATCAAACTAAGTGCTACGTGAGGTCCAGGAAGGAAGAATGTTACCAAGGTGGGGAACTGGGGAAGGCTTCGTGGAGGGGTAATATCTGAGTCTGGTTTTAAAAGACTTAGAGAAATTCAACAGGGAAATAAGGGCAAAGGGGTCACATATTCTAGATTTCCTAGAATTGGTCAATATTTATCAACATGAGAAACAAGGCAGTAAACTGGATTCCATGGCTAATTCCAATTAGATTTCCTAGGTCATTTTCTGCTGTCCCTACTCTTGAGAGTAGCAGGTTTCACTAATGTTTGCTAATAATAATATTTAGTAGCAGGTTTCACTTGGGTTCCCCTCTCTTTGCTTTTCTTTGATAATGCCCCTTTCTTCTTTTTTGTCCATCACAGTCAACGTGCTCAAATGATGAAAAACAAGGCAAGTACACTGGGCAAAGGACAGCTCAAGAGACAGATGCCTTCATTGTGATGGGGGTGTGTATTTCACTATATCATCTTTCTTTTTCATCTTAACTGACTTTATTTTCCTTAAAAAAGTAGAATAATCACTACATTTTGTTTTTTTATATTCATTCAACAAGCATTGATTAAGCCCCTGCTATTTGCAAGGCAACTGCTCTGTGACTTATAGTCCTAAAAGTTACCTGAGGTACAAGTGACTTGCCCAGAATGACACAGCCAGTAAATGTTAGGACTTGAACCCAGGTCTTCCTGTCTCAAAGCTGGCTGTCTCATCACTACCTAGATCTGGTGAAGGGAGTTTCCCCACTGGGATTTCTCTATACTGATGAAATGGCAGGTCCTAATTGGAAAAAAAAAATCTCACAAGGTACTATACCAGGGTCTGGAAGTACAAAGACAAAATCAAAAGTGCCCTCTCCCTCAAGAAACTTAGATTCTACTGGGAGGCTACAAGACGTACACAGATGAGTAAATACCAAGTAATGGGGTAGCAAAAGCACTAACAGTCAGGGCAGGGTAAGGAAAGTCCCTGTATAGGAGGCAGTATTCATCTGATCTTTAAATAACTGCTGGGCTTTGACACAAGAGGTACTTCTCAACAAATATCCAAACAAATCCCTTCAGAGACTACAAACTTTGAAAAGAAAAAGATTGTTCGTGCCTGGTGTTCTTCCCCTCCTCACTTCCACTGCTTGGAATCCATAGATCCCTTTAAGACTCAGCTCAGCTCAGTCAACACCTCCTGCGTGGTCATTTTTCTGATCACCCCCTCTCCTGCCATTATAACCCCAAGTTATTAGTGTTTTACCCCCTATTAAATTTCATTTTATGTTGTATTTGGGTATCTAACCCAATAGGTTGCACCTCACACAAACTGTGAACACGCACCCCCTCACTCTCTGGGCTGGTTCCCTCACTCCATACTGCCCTCACATTGGCAGGTCTGTGTTTCTCGAGAAAAATCCTGATCGCATGGTTGTACTTGAACTCTCAGAGGGTTCTATGGATAATCCTGTTGTGGAGGATTATATTTTCACTAGGGGCAGCTAGGAGGTGAAATGAATAGAGTGCTGGTTCAGGAAGACCTGAGTTCAAATGTGGCCTCAGACACTTGCTAGCTGAGTGATCCTGGATAACCCTGTTTGACTCAGTTTCCTCCTCTGTAAAATAAGCTGGAGAAGGAAATGGCAGACCACTCTAGTATCTTTGCCAAGAAAACCCCGAATAGGATCACAAAGAATCAGACATGATTGAAGTAATACAACAAAAACAACAATAAGGCAAAAGAAATAATAATAGCATTACAAGTACTCATCTATTAAAGCAAAAGCATAAATAATAACATTCATTACAATTCACATATAAACCTTAGTTGTCTTTTCCAAAACTTCACTGAGCAGCTGTGGATGGATGTACACTGACAGAAACTTGCCAAGGAGAGGTGAGGAGAACCTATGTGCTCCAGGAAACTTCTTAACTGTGCAATTATAAACTTTAAGTGTCCTCTTTCTGCCTCAGAAGCTGTCTACAAAATTTCCTTGATGAACTTAACTTCTCTAAATTGAACAAATGCTTCCACTGCTAAGCTGAATCAATTGTGCTTGACTCACATCTCTCTAGGCAAGAGATCTCAACCAAGCTGGCTGATCGTGGAGGTGACTTCTCTGACTCCCTGCTTCCAACCTGTTACTCTGTTCAGCTAGACTTCCTCCTAAGTATCAACTATAGTATGGATCACTGTTGAATTCACTGTTGAAATCTATCCTTTCACTTTTCTCTTTCTCTCTTTACTTATCTTTCTTGATTCAAATTCTGGGTCCTCTCCAAAATATGACCCTACCTGGACTGGTGTTTGGTAACCAAAATCTTATCCTCTGTCTATAATTAGATACATTACATTTGTCCCTGAATCATAACATTGTTCTACTATTCATGTCTCTTCAGTGTACTACAACTTGTCACTTGAAAGAAACTGAACAACTGTCTCAGAACTCTGAGCCAGAATAAGTTTTTCTTTTAGAACTCTGAGCAAAGCAGACAACTCAGCTGCAGACTGCTGAAAGAATAACATTTTAAAGGACCAGTGTCTTACACATGGTCATCTAGGTGGTACAGTGGATGGAGTGCCAGACCTGGAATAAGGAAGACTCACCTTCCTGAGTTCAAATCCGGCCTCAGACACTTACTAGCTGTGTGACCCTGGGCAAATCATTTAACTTTGTTTGCCTCAGTTTCCTCCTCTGTAAAATGAGCTGGAAAAGGAAATGGCAAACTACTGTATTTTTGCCAAGAAAACCTCAAATGGGGTCACGTAGAGTCAGCCATGACTGTAGCTACTGAACAACAACAAAAATCTTACACATAATTTGTATTTATTTATCTGTGCATATGTTGTATCTTTCCAGAATGTAAGCTTCTTAAGGGCAGAGTCTATATTATTTTTGTTGCATCTCCAACATTTAGCACAGTGCTTTGTACTTAGTAGGCTTTTGATAAATGCTTATTGAATTAAGGGATAGAAAACAAGTATGAACAAAGGCACAAATAATCTAGAGCATAAAGTATTTATGAGGGGCAGGAAGCAAAGAGTATGTAGTGTGGAATTCTATTAGACAAGGCTGAAATGGTAGGTTAGTACCAGATTGTAGAGAGAATTGAGTGACAGGCAAAGTTGTTTGACTTTTACTTGGTAGGAAATCAGGAGCCATTTAAGGGTCTAGAGCAAAGGAGAGACATGTGAAAGAGGAGACTTAGTGTGGCAACATTGCAAAGGATGGGTTGGGGGGTGGGGCTGGAGAGGGAGTAGAGATGAAACACTTGTTAAAAGGTTATTGTACATTGTGAGATGATCAACTGTGATTGACTTAGCTCTTCTCAGCAATATGACTATCCAAGATAACTCCAAAAGACTCATGTTGGAAAATGCCATCCACATCCAGAGAAAGAACTGATGGAGTCTGAATGCAGATCAAAGCATACTATTTTCACTTTTTAAAAATTTTGTGGTTTTTCCCTTTTGTTGTGGTTCTTCTTTCACTACATGACTAATGTGGAAATATGTTTAACATGGTTGCACATATATAACCTTAAAAAAAGAGGTTATTGTGATAATTCAGATGGGCAGTAATGATCTCCTATGCAAGGTGTCCCAAAAGTCTTAGTGTACTAAGCTAGTAAAGATGTAAACAGCACTAAGATTTTTGGGACACCTTCCATAATAGTGGTAGTAATGGGAATAGAGAGGCAGGAATGAATACAAATGATTTTGTGGAGGCAGAATCTGGAGGGGAGGAAGAGGGAAGAATTGGAAATAATACCAAGGTTTTGAACTTGAAGACTAGTTGAATGGAAATGTCACAGATAAGAACAAGTGGCATTAGAGTCGAGGGATGATAATAAGCTCAATTTTAGTCACTGATTTCAAGCTGTAGGTGTAACATTAGAGAAACGATGTCTTATAGGTTTATAATCCACCACCTTGGATTTTGGAGCCATTTGCATAGAAGGGGAAGTCAAAGTCATGAAAGTGAATGTTATGATCAGGGAGATAGTAAAGAGAAAAAGGAAGAGAAAACCAAGAGCAGAACCTTGGGCAACACCATTAGAAAGAGAAACAACCATTAAAGGAAAGTAACAGGAAGGTGATAGAGATATGGAAGGGATCCAAGAGATCTCAGCATTTCTGAAACCAAGGGAGGGAAGAATTTCTAGAAGGAAGAAGGGGACATGGTGTCACAGACTACACAGATGTTAAGGATGATGAAAACCAAGGAAAATTCCTTGACTTTGAAAATCAGGAAGTAATTAGGGACCATTGAGAGGTCAGCTTTAGTAAATTTGTGTGGTCAGAAATCAGAGAGGGAGAAAGTGAATAGTTGAGCAAGTGGAAGCTAGGGAAGGTGAAGATGGGAAGACTATTTTTTCCAAAAACTTTTGCAGTGAGGGAGTATGGTGGGGGGAGGGTTGGATGGCAGCTAGATAGTATAGGAGGGTCAAAGGAAGGCATATTTGGGTTTGGGGAAACCAGAGCATGTTTGTAGACAAATTGGAAAGAATGCAGAGTCAGTACCCCAGAGGGAGGAAATAATTGCTTGATCACCATCATGGCAGTCTAGAATTAGGACTAAAGGAGGAGGAGGGAAGGAGAAGGAACTTATTATTTTTAAAAAAAACATGGACTGGAGAGAATTTATTTTATTATTTAGTCCTTTCTTGAGAATTATAATTATTTAATTTTCTTGTGTTTCTCTTGTTCAGAGTTTTTGCAGGAAGAATAAACTACTCCCATCTCGTTGTTCAACAATATAGTAAATGTCTCTTTTGTTGAAAGTACATCTTTTTTCAGCGGTTATTAGATTTAGCTTTACATGTTATATTATTCCAATGAATTCTGTCTCCTCCTCTGCTATCTTGGAATCCCTAGTTTGATGTAAAGCTCAGTTCAAACACAACAGGAGGCCTTTCCCAATTCCTCCAGCTGCTAGTGACTGCCCAGAAATGACTTTGTATTTATTTTGTAAAATTTTTGTGTATATTTATATGTGTAAAAAATAGTCTCCTAAAGGAAAACAAGCTCCTTGAGGAGTCTGTTTGATTTTCATTTTTGTATGCACTACATCAGCACAGTTCAGGGCACAGTGTAGACCAGAGGTGGGGAGCCTGCTGCCTTAAGGCTACATGTGGCTTTCTAAATCCTTAAGTGCAGCCTTTAAGATTTGTTCTGTAAAATTTGGATTCCGTCAAAAGGCTGATTGTGCCTTGAGTGCCTTTATTTTTTGAAATTTCCTATCACATTCTTTTCTCTGATTTCTTCTAGATGTGGTATAGTTCTGGGTTATCAGAACTGAAGTTCTTTCATAGCGAAAGACCTTTTTCTTGGCTGTTTACAACATTTGTTGTTTGGAATTGGAATTCTGAGATTTAATTAATGTGTCCTTTGGAATTTCATTCTTTTTTTTTTCCTTCTGTGATCGTATGTGGATTTAATTATTCAGTGCTTTATCATCATTATT